CCCTGGCGCTGTGAATAATTAAAATGTCACGAAGTAGATGTCTTAGCAAAAATATTGGAACTGCAAAAACAGAGGCCCCTCAACTTGGGTAGTTTGGGAGGGTTTTGTTTTTTAAATTGGTTGAAATCAGTTTATGTAAGTTAGGGAAAGATGCTGAAGTATATACAATGCTGATTTTCATTAGGAAGAAGTCAGAGTTGGAAGCTTGATGCCAAACAAATCCTGCTGCATTTTGGATCACTTTCCATGTCTCTGAAGATCCAAAAGTTTTCATACCATTTTTATTCTAAGTCAATATCAGCAAGAGGATTCATTTCTTCTTTTGACTCATCTGTGACTGTATTTTTTACAAAGTTATTACAAATTATTATATTGTTATTACTTGTTAATGTTCTATCTAATCAAAGCACAGGCATCCTTTGGACCTAAAACTAAACCTGAACCACAGCTTGAACTTGATTTGTCTTTGGCTCAGATTTAATGTATGTGACATGGTCAAATAACAGGCCAAGAAAATAATTTCAGCTGGACTGTTTTATATTGATTCGAGGTCCTGAATTTGGAATTAGAAACTTGAGGCCAAAAGGCTCATCAAACTATTGTGAAGCTCAAGACTGCAGTTTAGGCCCAGAGTATCAGTTGTAGGAAGAATAGGGAAGCATTTTCCATCTTGCTGCATTACAGTGGCTTGTTAATGTTTTTGCTTGTGGTAGAACATATTTGATACTACCTCTATGTGATCTGATCTAAGGCTGGCATTCTGGATTTTTCCCTGGATCTCCTAACACCATAACATCTGAGGCAAAGAGTCTGTTGGAGGATGAAATAGGATCTGGCTAGTTGTCCTTGCTACTGACATCACTGATGAAATAATGCCCCTGCATTCTGTCTTCTGTGATATAATGACCCAACGTGAGCCTCAGTGAGGGACCTTAGTCTAGAGATTTAACTGCATGTGTTGGGAGGTTTAAAAGGTACCATACCTCCATCACGTGCCCCTGGAGGCAGAGTTATAATGGTAGACAGTATTAGATGCAAGTTGGAGTGGGGTGAAAAAGGTGAAGATTGTCTATGAGGTAAGTGGCTATTCTGTTGTATAATCCTAGCTCTATATTGTGTAATTCCCTAAGATGACTGAGCAAATAAATTTATTTTAAGAATTTCCACCAATTTAGTTTGGTAGAGTTGGAATAGAAGAACAGCACAACCCCCCCCCCTTCAGTGTCCAGCCTGGGTATACAGAGACTCACTGCTAATGAGAGTCAATTCTTGGCTGGCTGTTTAGTGGAAGATCAGACTAGATGATGATAATGGGCCCTCAAGGCCTTAAACATTTATAAAGAAATGAGTAGAGTTTGCCAGGAACTCAAGTGATTTCTTAATGTTATATTAAATAACTTTTAAAAGTATGGCATAACCCTAACATATTTGCTGTTAGCTTATGCTTTGGTATTACGAATCTGATGGAAAAAAGGTATCTCAAAAATGCTCCTTTTCAGAAGAAAGGACTTATCAAGTACATTGAGGTTTTACACCTAGGATTTTCTCTTCCCATATATATTTTGGCTTTTTTTGTTGTTGTTCATAAATTCTAATATTTTTGAAATAAAGCATTGAGAATCTACCTAAGAAAAAACATAATTTTCCTTACACTTCATTTTTTGATCTGTTTGAGTTGGAAGGATTTATGATGAAGAAAATTTCAGTGTGCTATAAATCCTGGATATCTATACATTCTCAAAGCAGACTGGACTTTCTGGCTCACCCTATAGAATTAGGGGCCTTGGTTTCCCAGAAAGAAAAAAACAAAAAAACAACAAAGCAACAATTGGATTTAATTACGCATGGTCAGTTCCTCACATAAGTTATGCTGATTTATATGAATTCCTAAACTGTAGTGGCTACATTAATAAGTAACCACAAATTAAAAATAATCTCAAGTGCAATTGAGAAAATATCTTCCCATTTGTTACTTTACGATTCCATTTCAATTAAATGGTTCAGTACTCATTTGCAATCAAGCAGGTCCTGTGTGCTACTCCTGCTGACATCACTGTAAATCTGGGTTGAGATTGTTATGAAGTCAATGCCATTACTCCAGATTTATGCAGATACAGTCAAAAGCAAAAAAGAGTCCAATGACTTAAGTATCCCCTTATCTTCAAAGGGCATCAGTTACATCTGTAATGAAATATCTCAGGCAGCCTAGATTAAGCCCAGTTATTTGGCTTCAGTGAGGCTCTTTGTGTGAATGAATCTTTTTAGATTCGATCCTGGTTGGTTAAAATCCATAAGCAACCTTCCATAGATTTCACTGGAGCAGATCCAGGTTCTATAGAGCCTCTGCTGAGGAGTTTTTCATTATGGCAGTTAAGATTACAAAAATTTATTGGGCTTTTTCAAGCATGGATTAATCAGTTACCTCTTCAGTTTATTTTCTTAGTTGCTTGTAATCAACTCCTGGAACTGTAGATCTAGATTCCTTACTGAAGAGTCCTGTGTTTTCAACTTAGATGTACTTTAATTCCTGATACAATATTATATATCTAGGAGGTAGGAACTTTGATTTGTATTTTGACATTTGCTTAGGTATAGCAAAGTAGAGCAACACCTTTGATTAGGTATATACAAAAGGTATTACTGTTCCTTCTGTGCATATTGAACTGAACTATTAAGCCCTGTAATAAAATATAAGTCTATATTCAGTCCATTCAGGACTGTGGCACAACTCTTTCACATTCCTGCATCTTGTTGCTTCCAAGTTACTCCCAGGAATGTTCAAGTAAATTCTCCTGGAAGAGCCCCCAAGATGAGCAGCCTGATCTGTTAGATTGCACATCCTCCCAGCTCCTGCAGCTAGAGGAATCTTGTGTTATTTCAGCATATCCACAGTCAACCATGTAGGGAGAAGGGAATTTTTACTTTTATTGAATAGGAGTGACCTTGGTTCTCTGCTATGGAAGCTTGGTGTTTTTCAAATGTTTTGAATAAAGATACATTGTTTTACAGTCCTTTTCCCTGTAGAGTATCTTGGGACAGCATTCATTTATAACCAGAAATGTTATGATAAAATTAAACAAAACCCATCAAATTTTAGACTAAATATCAAAGAACTTTATGACAGATAAATTCATTAGTTTAGTCAGCCTAAAGAAACATCAGAAGCCCTGTTGCATGGGTCGCATACAACTATAATATTCCTAAATCCTGGAGCATACTGCATAAGGAGCAATGTTAGACTTTTGTGTCCAGATGATAAAGCAAAAAAAAAAAAAAAAAAAAAAAAATTATCTTTAAATACAATATATTTGCCAAATCTGTTTTTTTATCCCATGTTTTGTACAATTTGAATAAATCCTGATACTTTTTTTTACTCCAGAACAATTGTGTGGTGGGGAATACCAGACCCTGTGCAGTGTGCCAGTACTCCAAGCCTGGCTCCTGTGCTGGGGTTAGTGTTGGGTGACTAGATACAGGGCTGTTCTGGTACCTAAAGACTTTGTCTGCTGAAGGAAGGGAAGCAGTAGGGACTCATAATGCAGAAGGGTGCTTTTGTATTCACTGGTCACTCAGCCCAGCATTATCTAGCACTGATGGAGAAGTATACTTGATTGGATGTTGCCTTTCGCTGCAGATGAGCTAATGCTCTTCTCTCACCTCTGTGTAGTGCATGTCCTGTGGCTCTCAGGAATGGGAATTGCTGTATATATTGGCATGCAACTTGCAGATATAGGAGGCTGGATCTTCCCTGTTCTGTATTACAGGACATGTTTATAAAGATTGGACATCTGATGGACCTTCCTGTGAGATGAGTGAGCATGCTTGAGAAACAGAGATGTTACACAGCATCTAATGCACTCATGTCTGTATTCAACTAAGGGACCTTTCTCATAGCATAGAATAGTCAAGGCTGGAAGGGACTTCTGAAAGTTATCTGCACTTAAAGCAGATGATTATATCAGGGCTGTGTCCAGTCAAACACTGAATATCCCCAGGGACAGAGACTCCTGAACATCTTGAAGAGCCCTGCCACAGTGTTTGACTCTACTGAACATAATTTTTTTCTCCTGCTATGTAATTAGAATTGCCCCTGTTGCATCTTTTGTACTGTTGCTCATAATATTCATATGATTTTAGACTGCTTATGCCAGTAGGCCACGGTATCATGCAAATGTGAATGAAGTCCAACAAATAGGGTGGGATCAATACCTAATTCTACAAAGAAATCTTCTTAAGAAGAATAAGAGAAAAAAGCTTGTGTTAAAATAGAGCCTTCCAGCATACACCTCTAATTTTACATTACAGAGTTGTCAGTATCCCTGATACAATTTACACTCTATCAAAAATACAAGCCTCAGCAAGTACAGAAAGTGAAAGCAGTTTTGGAATGATCTGTGCTAGAGCAATTCCCTCCACAATAGGTCTAAGCTAACCCAAACTGATGCATGTTACACAAATGATTATAAATAGAAGCCAAAATTTTGTCAGACCAATAGTGCAAACTTAACATATTGGCCCCTTGGTGTCATTTGAAGAAAATTAATGCAGAGGGCCAAAGAGACAGAGTCTGCAATATGTAATGCTCCAGAGACATAGATGAGATTTTGTTCTTCTTGCAGCAGAAATAAATGCTCTTGGCAAGTCATAAGGGAGAAATAAGACATGTGCATAAGTAAGATTAATCAGTAAAGCCAGTGTCTATCTCATGAGTTATATCTGACATCAAAAACACCAAGATTGTCAAATGCCAATTTTGTGCTACTATGGGAAAGGAGAAAAAAACCAAAGAATTTCTCGTGCAAATTGTGCTGTAGATTTGGAGAATGTGTGAGCGCTAGTAAGAATGGAGGCAGGGTACAAAGTGAGGGCTTTATTCTGTCAGTAGAAAAGTGTGGAATGATGGCCTGAGAAAAATCAGTAACAATGCTCCCATGGCTCTTAGTGGAGTCAGGTTTGTACTCATGAAGTTACAGTGGAAGGACTTAATTTCTCAGTCTCCAGTCAGGTAAACTCTTAGAGAACTAAATGGAAAGGTAAGGTGGACAAATAGCCTGAATGTCTGTGCTGAAAGTGCTAGATCTGTCAAAGCAGTGAGCAGTGATGGCTTACTGTACACTTCTTTGCCTCCCTTTGCAGAAAATCACTGTGCCAGCTGCTTGCCCATTCCACAAAGGCAGAGAGGCATGGAGTGAGAGATGCTGGGTTTTTGTGACATCAGCTCTAGATCTCTCGATATAGTTGGAAGTTTATGATGCATTGGGCACAGCTTTGCTTTGCATCAAAGATGGCTCTCTGCAGAGTCCAGGAGAAGGAACATCAGCAGAACCAGAAGCTGTTGTTTCAGGATGTGGGGGCAGAGATATCTAACCTTAGTTTTGTAAGGAAACATGTGTTAGAGCAGGGCAGATACACAGAACCTTTACCTCTTAGTTGATGGAAGGGCAGTATCTTCTCTCACTTTGGAGAATCACATTTTGAACTTCTGCTCAGGACAGGTAGCATACTGATGCTCCAAATGGTTCCAAATCTTAAAGGCACAATCTAGCTCTTTTCATTTTGTGGTAATGGTTCTAGAATCCTGCTGTAACAATCAGAAACATAAACATGATGAAATAGTGATACAGGAGGTGCAATGACAAAGGGGCAATAGAGAGATATTATAAGGGAAGAAAAAAAGGACTGCTTACCAAACTCTGAAAATCCAGGCTAGTAAGGGAAACTCCACAAGAAAGAGATCTCCAGAAAAAGTCACCCCAGTGGTAGTAAGCCCTTAAATGGGGTCTAGGAGGGAGTGCAGCCAGGCTTCTGATCACACAACAGAACTGCCTCCACCTGTGCTCACAGGCTGACTCAGTTCTTTCCTCAGGTGCTCAATCAGTGATTCAGGCTACAACTCAACAGTTACCATACATCTGCTTAGAATCAGGTTCCCCCAGGACTAAAATGAGAGGCCTCCTGTACTGAAAGCAATTATGCCTGTCCAGCCTGAGCTAAACTGAGAGGGGATACAAAATGTGGACAAGTTAAGGACAGAACTGGTTGACAAATACATTGCTAGATAAACAATGTAAAGATGAAATTAAAGGTGAGGTTGTGTATCAGTCACTTAAAGGTTAAAATCATACTGTAATGAACTGTGCACTTGCAGGAAACTTTGAACACTGATTATATTGTCGAAACAGCCTGTCATGTTAAGAACATGCAATCAAAGCTTTTCTGCCTTCAGGTGATGAGGATGAAAACTGTTAAAACAATAAATATAGATATTCAGAAACCACCATCCTCTAGTCTAGAGCTGCTAGATGTGAGAAGGTCCCACTGATATGGCTAATGCACAGATCAATGCAGTGAATGGACGTATTCCCTCCCTGTGAGGAGGGAATGAATGGACGAGCCTAAGTGCTGATAAAAATAACTGCTTCTGGAGTCCCAGCACAGCACAAGTGCCTTGGGACCAAGTACTTGCCCTGCATTAGCAAGTTCAGTGACTTGTGCCTCCCTGCTTTCTGGTCCAGCTTTGTGTTGTCTCATATTTGAGACATCCTCTGCTCTGCAGCTGTCATAACACTTGCAAACCACCCACTCTTCACAGGAGCAATTACATGTAACCCAACCCCTTGCCGTATGTGCAAGCTGATCTTTCCCACTGCCCTAATTCAGGCTCTAAGATCTCTTTGTTTTTCAGTGCTGTCACCTCCCAAGCAATCGCAGTGTTCCAGCTTCATTATTTTCCAATCTGTGCACTGGAATCTAAGACCTCAGATCTGCCTGTCTTCTCTCAGGAGAACTCCACTTAAGCAGCTGAAACAGGGTGCTTTCTGCCCAACATCCCCTCAACTGCCTCTTCGGGATTAACAGACAGGTTGATTTATGTTTCTTTTAATTGGATCAAGCTATTTGTCAGCCATAAATTTTGTTTCTGATTCATCTCCTACTACAGAAATGTGTAGTAGTAGAGTTGAGCTTATAAGCTGGAACTTATTTAAGCACTTGTTTCAGTTTACTGCCAACCTTCTCTCCATGTCTGCACTGCTGCACCTCTTTCTATACACTCTTTGAATGAATACTATACATTCTTTGACCATGAAGATAAGCTGTGAGAGAAGAGGAGCCCAATCCTGGAATCCAGTTAGTTTTGTACTGTTCCACCCTACATTTTTAGATCAGGAAATTTGCTCTACTGGGCAGATCTTTCCTGAGATGAGGCTGTAGCTGTTGCCATTGCCACTGTTCAGTTGACTTTCTGAGCTGCTGTGTGGTTTGAGCTGAAGCGTTTTACTTCAGATTTTTGTTGCTCTGAAGTTAAATGTTTGTATCCACTCAGAATTAAGCCATGATTTATCTCCCCACTTAAAAAAAATAAAATAAATAAAAATAAAAGCCCTAATAGATTTTCTTTCTCTAAAATGTATGTATGAAACATTTAGTTTTGACCGAAACAAAGCATGGATTGGCTTTTAAAATAACTCTTACGTTTTATTTATCCTACTTTATTCCGTACAACTTCTGCAAAAAGTCTCTGGAAAACTACTGGAGCTGGATGTGCTCCAAAGAGACATGCATGTGGTATGGAGCATCCCTCTGACTCACTGCCTTGGGAGTTACGAGCCCTGCTGGAAGTGTTCTGCATCTGAACCTGGGCTGTTGCATTGAACTCAAGCTGCCTGCCATGCCTTTTTGCTGCAGGGCTCGGCACCCCTGTTGTGTTTGTACCTCAGCCAGGTCCTTCTAATCTTGCTGGAGCTGGAGGCTGAAGGAGTCCTTTTGTCCTATTTGACTTCTATGGAGCTATTGCAGGGAAAGTGCCAGTGCTGCTGAGTATGGCACCAGTTTGCCTGGGACAGCCTCCCTGGGTGCAAGACAGTATTAGTTTCATTTTAGTGCCTTTATGGCACATCTAATAAACTCAATTTGCAATTAGACAAAATGTAGTGAAAGACTAATTCATATTTATTTCCTGTTTTCATGGCTAACAGTGTTAGCCTGCGTTAATAAAAGTGTTCCGGAGGGTATTGTGTTTCACAGTTAAAAGTAAGATTCGTAGGCCAACGCTTGCAATCTAAAATTAGGCATCTAAATAGAGGTAGTCTTAAGACATGAACAGTTTGGAGTAGGAATTCTTAGAAACAGAAGTCTGGGATCAAAAATAAACTTTCTGGAAAAGCAACCTGTCCTATGGAGCTTTCATAGAGTGTCACAAAAATATGGATACTGATATGTAACAGCTTGCACTTCCCTGTTCTGTACTGAGATTAGTAGGAAAATGCTGTTGTGTGCATGGTGGAGAAGGACACAGAGGGCTGATGAACTGGCTCAGTGCCATATGGAGATGGTGTCCAGGTGGCAGTTTGTCATTGCTATACTGGTCTGTGATGCTTGCTGGGATAGGCCCCTTGGTGAGTGCTCAGCAGCTGTCTAATGCCAGAAAACAGCGGATTGGTTGTGCCACAAAGCCAATTAAAGCTTATATCATCAGCAGAACCTAAAAGTAACATAGAAATGAACCACTAGGACCACACCATTTGAACTGTTCTCCTCACAGGCCTTTGGGGTCAAATACATGGAAGCCAAAATCTCTTCCCTGACTGCAAATGAGCTACTCTGTGCAAGCCTATAGGTGTGATGACACTTCTGCCTGCTTGCTGCCTGCAGGGCTGCATCACATAGCAGTGCCAAACTGGGGAACTGCATGAGGCAGACCAGGGCTTCAGATGGCGGAGGTACCTTTAGCTCTGAGTTTTGCAAAGGAAAATGGCATTACAGCAACTTTTCAGGCCAATAGATGGTGCTCTCCACCTGATTTTCTGGCTTGAATTAGAAGTTTGGGAACGGTTGGAAATAAATGCTTTCATGTATTTGACTGCGGTAATTTTGTTTCTGAACTGGGTTGAACTACCCAATTACAGAACTCCAAACAGGCTTCAGAAGTTATTTAGGGCAGACCTGGCCTGATAAATTAGGCAGACCTTTTTCCAATTGCAATTAAGATTTTATTCAAATGGCAGTTAAGCAGAAAACACCATCCCCCACATACAGCATACTGCTGGCAGCCTGACAACATGTAAAGCTTAAATGATAACCCAATGGCATAACACTACCAAACAGGAACAGAGCACATTCTTAAATATAGTGCCAAAGAACAAAGCATGCTCTTAAACTTACTGAAGGCTTTAGATTATCAGATTGTGACTCACTCACACAACAGGTGGTAGGTAAATCAAAACAGAAATAGTCCCTTCCTTGCACTTTGGTCCTTGCATCTGAGATAGAGGTTTCCCCTCCTTAAGGGAGCTGTGGCTGAGGTGGGTCAGCTAGATGCAGACTTGCTAGATCAGCAAGCTGATCTGTTCTGTCCCACAGCCACCCAGCTGTCTGGCCTAAGGATGAATACAAAGAGTACTTTTTACAGTATGTGCCTTTTTTTCTTTTTTTAATTTTTTTTTAATTTTGATTCAGCAGTCTGAGATTATACTGGCTGCTATGCAACTGTTCCTCACTTTGACAGATTTTGTGAAGTGCTCTATGGAAGTATTTTGGTTAACATCTTTTTGCTGAGAGCTATTGTGCATCTCCTGTCTCTGTGCCCGGTTGCATCATCCTGTCCTCCTTGTACTACTAACACGGATGTTTACTGGGTCCATTAGCATCAACATTCAGTTCACTGAAGTATGTGAAAATTACCTGAGAGAGGGCCAGCAAGACCCTTTAACTCCTTTAGCATCAGTGAGCCTGGAGCTCAATTAAGCTGCTCAGGGAACAGCAGCTGGAGCCTCCAGGAACCCTATTGTGCTCATCCTGAATTTGACAGCAAAGTTCTACCTGACTGCCACAGGAGCAATCTCTGGTCTCCACTTGTACATGTGGTTATGTAATACAACACAGGCACAAGTTTTGTTGCCTCCTCAGAGTTAAACATAGAAATATGTGCTTCGAATAGCTACCTGTTGTCTGTGTACTTCACCCTTAGGAAGGCAGGACTCACAGCTGCTTACAGGAAGGCAGTATATCACAGAGAGGGATGTGCTGCATCAAAGACAATACTTTGCAAATGCTACAGCTGAGAATAACTTCCCAGCTGCCTCTTGATTTACTTATGATCAAGGGTATGTGAGCTGAAACTTCCTTCCTTTACTTTTCCTTGTCAGAAGGACCTGTTTAATGCAAAGCTAGGAAGTATGACAGGAGGTTTTCTCGGGCTGTATCAGTGGTTTACGTGGACAGCGCTGGCTTGAGTCACTCTAATGGAGGTGAGGAGCACATCCTCCCACATTAGCTCAAGAGAAAGTGTCCATGTTAAAGCTAGCAGGAATTTCTTGTTAACTTCACTTCCCTCCCCACCCCCCAAACTATTATCACCACAATCTAATGCATTTTTATAGGTATGAAATCTTCCTCTGATTACCAAACTGAAAGTAATGAGAGCAATTTGTTTCAGTTAATAACCAGGAGGCTTAGCTTGAAATCTATTGGAATGAAAGCAGGTGTAAACCAGATGCGAGAGAAAAGAATTGCAACTTATTTAGGAAGTGTCTGAAGTTTCATTTGGAAATTTTCCTTCAAAACAAGTAATAATAAGTTGATGATCACAGGACTGGAGCACCTCCCCTATGAAGACAGGCTGAGGGAGCTGGGCTTGTTCAGCCTGGAGAAAAGAAGGCTGTGGGGTGACCTCATTGCAGCATTTCAGTACCTAAAGGGAGCCTACAAACAGGAGGGGAATCAACTTTTTGA